TCGGAAAGGTTTTAAAACGCGGTGTGAGTGCAGCGACTGTGGCGTTGCTCTGTGTCGTACCGAGCACTGGGTCGGTCAACCGTCGTGCTAACACCAGATTTCACACTGATCAAGAGTTACCAAAGCCGTGTGAAGCGCCCGAGCAGCTTCTTCCGAGTACAAGACAAAACTCGCGGGTTAGAACCGCTGCATATATCGGTACGCTAAGCTATGATACTTTCTTTTTATAATATTTTCTAACTAATACTAATACACGTAGCTACTCGAGCAAACATCGTTCACAGCCCAGACTTTGAGTCGGGGTGCGTCCGTGTGCTCAAAGGAAATGGAGCCCGCTCACCGCGTCGGAGAAACGGGTTATTCGTCCTTTTCTCCAAGTGGACCGTGCCCCGGACAACAATGGTGAAGAAGTCGAGACGGACTCGCTTGTGCAGCGGCTCGAGGAGCGGCGCCGTCTTGAAGCACAAGAAGTCGGTACTGCTTCGTAGGCAGCATCCCCGCCACCTCAAACAGTGTTGCGCGTGAAACTCTTGGGCTCGAGCGTAATGGGCTGTAGGCCATTACGCTCGAAATGGTCCTTTTCCTATGTGAAAATTCCCGGTTTTGGGATTTTGCTACTGTAGATCAACTCCTCCAGCTCATAACTTGCTAATCAATACAAGTATCAGTTGATCACCATTATTTATTTATCTCTAACAGATATTACATTATTTATGAAGTCGAATCGTAAGAAGACGTCACATTATTTATGAGTACATTGAGGCTTCCATTCATATAAATATCATAATCGGCGGCCCAGTTAAACACTGCTTTTCAGTTGAGCAAATGCAACTCATTTGATATAGGATATAAATTAAAACTGGAGTAGTCGATGCCTCTGCAACATAGCAGTGAAATATTCTAGTAATGCCATCAAACATTCGATCAAAAAGAATATTGGACTGCTTAAACAGCTAGGTTTTCTAAAACAAAAAATAGTATCTCAATACTATTGAGATACTATTGAGTCAATAGGTCTAGTTCTTCGTTTTCATCGCAGCTATGATGGCTACACCTGAAACCAAGGTTGGAGTAACGTCGTTGTAACTTCAGGCGGAATTAGCATTACGCCAATTTTGGTTAGAGACTGTTACCGCCACACTCTGAATCATTGTTTCAACGAAAAACTAGGGCTGAGGCGGAGGTTGGGACAGCATCGGGACACGGAAACGTTATTGAACGTTGAAAGCTCTCCTCAGCCGTCCACCGATCAAACCGCTTGGAGAATGGGGTAAAGATACGAAAAGGATAAACAGCTTTTGGAATATCAAGCCTAAAGTAAAATATTTGTTGTATCTACTTAATCCACAACTTATTTTCTTTCGACTGGTTT